TGAACAATGCCCCTTGCTGTGTGGCCTCCCTCACCATCAGATAAAAGGGGTAGCTTTTGACAGTAGTCACAAGTCCAAATCAGAAACTGAATCCTCTGTGCCCAGTTTATGATGGTGAATGTCTGATGATGCATCCAGGCCACGAGGGACGCAATCTGCAAAAAAACAGGCTCTCTGTGGGCATTCACCTTGATTCCAGTCAGTCTCCTCAGAACAACAAGCTCTTCCTGTGGGCATTAGAGTGACCCGGATGGTCAGATCAGCAGTTACGGTTTCCAGAGTTTGCAGCTGTAAAGAGAGATGTCTAACCAGCCTAGTTTTTCAAGGGTCAGACCAAACAGCTAGACTATATTGACAACAACCCACAAGTGAGTCAGATTATAGGAAGGCTGATCCCGAGGAGTGTTGGCAGAACTACATAAAATGGCCCAAGCTCTGCCCACCAACCAGAGCAACAGTATGCATTTTTGGTTTTGCATAACTGACATTGAGACTGAATGGCTGCATCAGCCACCAGGGACAGCATGGGGTTTCAGCTTAATTGATCTGGAGTGAACCAGGGCCAGGCGTCTAAGGGAATTTCTGTGAACTAAGAGCCCCATCAAACCAACAGCTTTGTTTCCGATGGCAGAGTGGCAGATAAAGTTTTCCCTGAAGGGGTATCTGCCATTTTTTCATCTAAAACAGAGATTCTGGGGCCAGGCCGACTGCATCCTTAAATATGCCATTCCCACTTGACAAGTGAGGCATATTGGGTTCTTCCCATTTTGTTAGAAATAGCATCCAAGTTAACCTACCACTAAATGTGAATATTAAGCTAGCATAGAAGGCCTCCACGAATCAGGCATTTAGGTTTTAATAGGAGTTTAATAGCAAGCTAACACTATTTTTCAAAAAGTGTGCATCCAGTAACCATGTCAGAAAGGTTGGTTCCAAAAGTGAGTACAAGCTGCCTCCCTTTCTCAGAGACTCCAATCAGCAAAATCATCAATCATAGAGACTTGTAGCTGTTGGTTCGCAACCTCTGTATTGCAGGTGAAATCTGAAATTTGGATCCTGTACACAGGGCAAGGAGAGACCAAAGAAAGAGGCAGGCCACTCCATAGTGGTAGGCAGCAGTTCTAATAAACAAAGGAACTTACATATGAGGCTCATATTGGGTGGTCACAAAATGAGTAGATCTCTGCACTCGCCTGGCATAGTCTTAGCAATATAAAGAGGCTTTGGGTTCAGTCATATATTCAATCCAGATGGTCTCAACAACACATTACTCTCTCAAGGCTGTGTCCTTGAAACAGCTTCCAGTATGGCAATAGTGGGTGGAACATATATATTCCAAGGATAGGGGAGGGAGGGAGGATTTTCCAATTGTCTGGGTCCTGCTCATGGGTAAACAGGGTCATGACCTCTTGATGAACTTCGACAGTAACTCAAAATATTTGTGGAACACCAAGGAAGTTTTCTACAGATTGCTAGATGGTTAGGATGGGGCTGAGGTCTTCTGTTTTATTGCCTATGAGAAAGAGTTGGGGCAACAGTTGGTACAGACTGAGAACTAGGAAGCTGATTTAAAAACAGCTGCCCAACTGGTACCCTGGTTGTGGCTACAAGGTCTTCATCATCAATCTGGTGGTTAGCTCAAGGGTTGGTGTCAGTATCTGGAACCAGGACAGCTTCTACCTTTCCTCCTTCTTATCAGTCCTCAGTTCTAGCAAACCCAGGTCCTTAGAATCTTTACACCCCAGGCTCCATAGAGGCTTCCACACTACCCAGCACTCCTCCGATCGTTCTCCACACACAAATCTCAATGTCTATCTGGTGTCTTATTCTGCCTCAGTGTAGTTCCCTTGGCTTCCCCTCCATCCCACATTTCAGAATATTCCTCAGTCTCTGTCATCAGAGTTGAGTCAGTTTCCATTGCCAGTTTTCTTTTCTATTTTAGGGCTTTGCAATGCATCATAGGGCATATGGTGCTGTTCTCCTGTCTATAGCATAAACTGTAATTCCATTGAGCATCTGTGCAAATTAAACATTGCACTGAGTGCTGCTGAAACAGATGCAGAGATAAATAAAAACAGGGTCTGTACCAATCCCTCTCCCAAACCAATGGTCTAATTCTTATTGAATATATGAATAAATGTCCTATTCATGCCATGTCTCTTTGCTGATTCTAAGATTTGAGGTGCAGATCAAAGCAGTAGGTTGTGGTCTGGAGGCCAGCTGCCTAGTTTTTAAATAAAGTAATTTAGAACCATGACCAGGATTTGGACAAGGCAAGTAAGGCGGGTTCATTCAAGTGCAGGGTTAGACCCTGTCTTTATTGGAAGGCTGGTTTAGTTTTTTCATTGGTAATAGGAAGTGCATTTACCATCCCTTCACCAGTCTGTTTTATGCTGGTCTGAAGATGGTGGTAACATTTACATGACTGGCTCAACCTCATGCTTATCCTACAACCTTCCCCACCAGCCAGCTACTTCACTCTGACTCCTCAGGAGCTTCCTCAGCCCATCACCATGAGTTGTCTGTCCACAAGGGGCAGAGCATTGTGCCAAGTAACTTGGGAACACTCCCAAGATTTAAAACCTGAACCTGCTAGCCATCCAGTGTGAACCATGGAGCCCACACTTTCAAGTGTGGACACTTGAAAGCAAAAGGTCTGGTTTCTAGTGCAGCAGAATGTGGGCTTGGCAAGGCTCAACATCTCTGGGCTTTCCTGCCTGTAAAGACAGAATAACAATTCCTACCCCACGGTGTTTGTAAGGATTTAATGAAGACCACATTTACAAGAGTATTTTGTAAATCGTAAAACCCCATGCCAATGTGGAATATAAAAATGATCATAATACAGGAGATATCTAAGCTGGCCTGTGCATACAGTAAAACAACAAATTTGACTGGATCTATACTGTTGGAACTCAACCAAGAATTAGGAGAAGTGCAAGTTGTAGCGCTCCAAAATCTTACAACTACAGACTATCTACTGTTAAAAGAACATATGGGATGTAAACAGTTCCCAGGAATGGGTTGTTTTAATTTGTCTGATTTCTCAGACTGTTCAAGTACAGTTGGACAATAT